AAGTATATCGGCAGCACTAAATGAGCACTAAATTATTATCTCATATCATTAGGTGATAATCCACTTGGATGTCAATTTTTTCTTTACATACTCTGCTAAAGATGTCAAAGTAGCAGAATTTATGATATTAAAAAAAATATATATTTTCCCAATATTTGTTTTTGCGTATATCGGCAGCACTAAATTAGCACTAAATTATTGATGCTTCTATTTGGTGCTGTATTAAGCGGTTATCGTTTTAATAGGTAGAACACTGCTACCTTAATTTAAAGCTAGCAGTTTTCTAATTTTTGATCAAGCTATTTTGGCGTGAAATTTAAATTTGCAGCACTAAATTAGCACTAAATGAGCACTAATTATTTAGCAAAAATTGAAGTGATTTTGCCCAAATGACCATTCCAGCTTAACAGACCTAACTTTTCTGACTCCGTCACAAACTACATTTATTGCCAAACCACACACGTTTTTGTTGTTTTCTTGCAATCCTGTCCATCCAAAGGTTGTCTGGAAGAGATCGCTCTTAGCGATAAGACCGCCCATTGTACCACATTTCTTTTTCTCATTTTCATGTTATTTTTTGACGTACAATAAAGTGTTATCTATCTATATTTTTAATATTATTATGATACAGAAAGTAACCGAATTTAATTGGTTTTGAGAGTTACTCCGGACACTTGATCATTTGACGTTTTACTAACGTGAACTAGAAAAGGCGCAGTATCATCTTGAGAGTACTTTACTTTTTTTATTAATAAAATCAGGATGGGTATATGAGGCTTGTATTGAAGGAAACTGTTGGTTTGGATCAGTAATAACTATTTTTTATGGATGGGCAGACCCATTACTTGGGCGCGTTTACGGTTAATAGATTCTACATTATCAATGGGTAAAGTAAAGGAGTCATTGCGAACCCTTTCGAGATCGGGAGGTTCGTCCTCCATTATATTTCTGCAACTAAAACTTACATAAAAAGGGCACAACTAAAAACACTTAATAATCTAGTCTAGTAAATCTTACTATAGTGACTCAACAGCACTTAATAAAACAATAAATTTAAGTGAAAAAAACTACGCCACTTGTATCTCTCACTTAACCTCAAAGCAAAGTCCAATGTATTTCTTAAATAAAGGGTTTTTCAATAAGGTCGGGTAGATATTGAAATGAAATAAAACAAGCTGATTGTGAGGTATTAACAAAATCCTTTTTTTATTTGATACGTGGTAGAGCCATGCTGCAGCTAAGGACCACGCTCTCACAGAATACCAGCGTAAAATAACAGTTTAACACTGCTGTGTTTCGTACGGTGAGTGTAGAGAACCGGAGCCCTTTTTACTGGAAAAGAGGCATTCCATCTTAGTCCTCACGGATGACAACGCATCTGCATTTTGATTAGCAAACAAGGATAAATGTAGGGGTTTATCACAGTCTATAAATCCATACAGTCGTCCGACAAAGACGTCTAGACAGGGCAATCGTGCGGGGTGTGAGGGGTGAGACGCGGGAAGGAAGAGCCCGAGCTGCTTATGCCAATCGTATTAGTAGCTCGGGACACGACTTCGAGGGTTAACGCGCGTTTGCTTTTATAATTTTTAAATTTAGTGTTGATACTTATAATTAAAATGGTTCATACGACGTGTGCTGTGAGAGATTGCAAGTCGTCATCTCGCATAAATAAAGATCTGCGATTTCACCAAATCGCGCACACGGAAGAAAGGTAAATAAATATTGTTATTATTTTTTACATTATGTATATTTTGTCATGACATGCCAAATTGCCAACGTAAAAAAAATGGCGGACGTAAAAAATAGGTACTAGTCGCTGGGCATTCATTACTGTTCCGAAGTTTGTTTTTTTTTTCTTCATTTCAATCGTGTGTTTGGACAGGCTAAGGTTTTAGCCCATACTATAGTGCCTCGTCTTCGGTCTTTCGAAGTTTTTTATAAAATGTTAAGATTTAGGGGTCAATTTTTAGGTTTGTCGAGGTGCTAATTACGACAATAGCATTTATTTTTAAATCCAAGATGGCGGTCATTTTTTAATATATGTATGATATGTATGTCAATTTCAAGGTTTATTGGGGTGACGATTACGAAAATGGAATTCATTTTTAAATCCAAGATGGTGGACGTAATATTTTTTTAATGCTATGGATGTCAATTTCGAGGTTTCTTGGGGTGCCAATTACGAAAACGGCATCAATTATCATATCCAAGATGGTGGATTTTTTTTAAATAATACAATATGGATGTCAATTTTAAGGTTTCTGGGGGTGATAATTATGAAAATTTATTAATAAGTATTGTATTTAAAAATTTCAGATGCAAATTATTGATGGAAGTTATTGGAAGACCTGATTTAGTTGGAAGAACTTTCGAAAGCCTAAAGAATCAATTATAAAATAAACTAATAATTCAATGTCTGTAGTCATTGTAACGTTAACAATAATATGGATTTGATGTCTAGCTAAGAGTATAAGAACGATTTAATGTAGCGAAATTGAGGTATGGCCACATATCGAGAGTAGAGCACTCCCTCACGTTGTGAGGCGTGCAATTAACGTTTTGAGTACTTTTAGGAAAAAATCTAAGAACAAATTGTTACTTATTTTTTATATTAGTAATCATACTATTGATGACGATGTACGTCTAAAATAAATAGAATAGAATAGAATGATTTTTATTCAATATTGATTATTACACAATCCTTATTGAAAGTCATTTTTATTTACCACTGGTTCGGAAAATACCTCTGTCCTGGAAAGAACCAGTAAGAAATCCAGCGGGACTTTGTTTTTAAACATAATTTCACTTAAGAATAGTTTTGTTTATACAGTTTTAAATAATGATTAAATTAGTAAAAGTTGTTAATTTGTGACAACCCTAACCTCCATACGCTGTCTAGACGTTGTCGGCATTTACCACGAGATCAAAGGCGTCGTCCTACTGTATGTTTATTATACTGTGGGTTTATGGTCTACAGCAACCACTTACCATCAGGTGGTCTGTGTGCTCGTTTGTCACCCGATCTTATAAAAAAAATATTTGAAAGGCCCACATGAGATGTGGAATATGATATCGTTCAAATGGCACCCTCAGCTTCTTACCGTGTCACGGAGCCGAGTGCATAGATCCGGCTGAATTTTAGCGATGGTCTGTGTTTTGTTCTCACCTTCAGGGCATTGGTCGATTGTGGTTTGTTTGCATAGACCTGTGTTCTTCAAGAAACCCCACAAGAAAAAGTCTAGTCAAATCGCATGAACTTGGTGGCCAATTCAGATCACCCCTGCGAGAGGTTCAAATCGCTCATGGAGAATGTCAATCGTGGCGTCCGCTGTGTGGTATGTAGTGCTATCCTGCTGGAACCAAATTTCGGCTAGGCCCATATGGTTCAAATTGGGCCATAAGAAATTGGTTATTATCGTTCTATAGCGCTCGCCGTTGACGGTGACCGCCTCACCAGCGTTATTTTCGAAAAAGTACGGACCAATGACGCCGCCGGCCCAAAATTCACACCAAATGGTAACTTTTTAAGGATGCATTATCTCCTGGTGAACATCGCATAAGTTGATATCGTCCTATATACGGCAATTCTGTTTGTTAACACAGCTATTCATCCAATAATGCGTCTCGTCGCTAAAGATGATTTTTCAGCCAAAATTGGGATCCTCTTCCAAACGATACGAAGCCCAGTCAGCGAACAAAAAGCGTTGTCTATGGTCACGAACTTTGAGCTCCTGGGTCAGTTGCAAAATTCGCTAAGTTGAAAACACTAGGCCATTGTCGACAAAATATACAGATGCGATTAGAGATTCCACAGTGACATTGAAAAATTCCGGTCAAACTACTGGATACACGGGTATAACTGAAGAGTTTACTAAGACATCGTCTGCAGTAAGACCCACAACATATATACACTTCGAAAAAATTAAAAACACTAGGCCATTGTCGACGAAATTTACAGATGCGATTAGAGATACCACAGTGACATTGCAAACTTCCGGCTTAACTACTGGACAAATGGGTATAAATGAAAAGGTAACGGAGACATTGTCTGCAGTAAGACCCTCAACAGATATACACTCGGAGACATTTGAAAACACTAGGCCATTGTCGACAAAATATACAGATGAAATTAGACACACCACAGTGACATTGCAAAATTCCGGTCAAACAATGAAATAATTGTCTTCCAAATATTTAGGTGTCACTCTAGACACAAGGCTCACTTTCAGGCCCCACGTCAAAAGAGTAACCCGTCACGCACGTTTTTACCTGAGTAGGCTCAACAGTATGTTGGGCCGACACAGTAAAATGTCCCTCAGAAACAAGCGTACCCTTTATAAGGTCTGTATACGACCAGTCATGTCCTACGCGGGCCCCATTTTTGCCCACGCTGACCCTAAAATTATTCATGAACTGCGAAATCGAGTCTGCGAAAGGCCGAGTTCTTGTGCACGGCGAGGAATCGGCTGGCTCGGGTTCTGCTATACACTTTCACGAACCGTGACGATGTTCTCGGGCGATTTTGCGTTCCTTGAACGTACGGGTGTTGGCTGATTGTTTATCGAACAGGTCATTTCAAATTTGGCCACCAAACGTTGATGATTCGACGAACGAAAACGAAACGAAAACTCATTTTGATAATAAAGTTTTAACGTGCTGTTCAATCGTGTAACTTGCCATGGTAATTTGGCATAAGTAACTGAATAATAAACAAAACATTTGATAGATGTCACCAAAACAAAATTTAATGTGCCAATTGAAAATCCCTTTACATGATAGTCTGTGTATGTTTGCTTGTTTCTAATAAATTTATCTGATTCTGAATTGAGGCACCGTATTGTTCTTGACTTCGACTGACGAAATTAATTTTTGTTAATGAAATCAACACATTATTTAAATCAAACCATATCATGTCGATGTAAATGTAGTCAAATCTATACCTTCACACCAGTGATATTTTTGTATTAAATCATTTATCAGTACTTTATTTATTTCAGATACACACCCCACTTAGGTAAGAATTTGGCAGTTGAAATAAATGGAAGATCTACCAAAAGTAACTTTTGCCGTGTTTGGGTTAACACACTAGATCGTAAAGATGGTACATTTATTGTACGTTATAAAGTTTATGAAACATGTACTAACCTGTCTATCAGCATATATTATAAAAACAAACATATTGAAAATTCCCCTTTCATGTTTGATGGTACGTCCTTTTTTTATTTAATCAACATAATATTTAAAAAAAATCTGTACTTAATGAATGTTTCTTTTCAGGTCCTATTCAACCTGATCAATGTAATTGTCCTGATGAAGATTTAAATTTATGGTTAAAAAAATATGGCTGTTCCTCTTCTTATGAAAACATTATAAATGACTTAAAACCATTCAATAAATTAGACATGACCGTTGAAATCCAGAAAATTGTCCAAAAATATCATAAGCCAGAGAGTACCAGTTTTTGCCACTATGTGATTAAAAACAATAAAATATATCGTGATTGTTATGGAAAACACATTGGTTTTAACATGTTTGCGGATAATATTCTGTTGTCATTAGCAAGAAAAGTATTTTTACCAGATATGGAACTGGTTATTAATCTAGGTGATTGGCCTTTAGTACATAAAGGTAATGAGCCACTTCCTGTGTTTTCTTGGTGTGGTAGCAATGAAACAATTGATATTGTAATGCCTACATATGATCTAACAGAATCAGCCTTAGAAAATATGGGAAGGTACCTATTTTTGAATTATGATTTATACAACTACATATAAGATTAGCAGCATTATATAATAATTAACTAAGAACACTTTTTATTTGTTTTTCAGAATTACTCTTGATACATTATCAGTGCAGGGTAATGTTGAACTAAAGTGGAAGAATCGCAAACCGATAGCATTCTGGCGTGGGCGCGATTCACGCGCTGAAAGACTTAAACTTATTGACATTGCGCGAGCTTATCCAGAACTTTTTAATGTTTCACTTACAAATTTCTTTTTTTATCGCGACAAAGAAGCTCAGTATGGTCCAAAGCAACCGCATATATCCTTCTTCAAGTTTTTTGATGTTAGTTATTATTTTTTTTCTCCATAATTAATTAGACGTAGATTAATGTATAGGGTATCTCTAGAGGCACGCATTCCTTTAAAACCCACTATACGGTGTTAATGGGAGACTTCAACGCAAAACTAGACACGAGAGAACGGTGAGCTGAAGGTAGGTAAATTCGGCATGGGCCATTGAAACCCAATGGGCCAGCAGCTTGGAACTTCATGGAAAAAGAGGCACTCTTTATGATGAACACTCCTCCAGAAGCGGCGCCATAGAAAGTGGACCTAGTCGAGCCCCGACGGTTCGACAAAAAAATGAGATTAAGTTCATTATGACGACTAGACGGCGACTATTCTGCGATGTTTTAGTGATTGCGATTCGCAGAAAACTGACAACGATCAACAAATGGTGAGAGGCAAAGTGAACCTTAACGTTAAGTTGAAGAGGTCACGTCTAATGAAGGCAAGGCCCCTCGTGCTCTAATCTAAAACTCCTAAAACATTCAGATCAAGTTACAAAATTCTTTTCAGTGCCTAGAATAGTGTAATTTAATACAGTGGACGATATGAATGACAAGCTCGTGGAAACTGTCCAAACGACCGGAGCTTAGTTCTGCAAGACCCGTCGCGGAAGGACCCTAACACTCTTAATCTCATGGCTATTAGACGGGAAATGAAGCTGCAGTCTTCAGCAGATATGACAGCATATAAGCAACTGAACAGACAGATCTTCAAATGCTTGAGGTGGGATTTACGCAGCTTCAATACAGCTCGTATTGAAGAAGCGAGCGAGCGGAACCAGGGCTCCAGTCTTTGCCAGAGATCTGTCTGCCAGAAAGAGCCAACTGTCGAAGCTGAAGACCGAATGCATTGTTTCTGGGAATTCTGAGATTTTAAGTGAGATTGAAAGGTTCTACGGGCAGCTGTACATGTTATCGTTGCACGCAAGACTGAGTAAGACTCATCCGACACTATTCCGATGATATTCCGCATGTCAGGCTCTCCAGCACCCTACAAACGGCAAGGCCCCGGGTGAGGATGGAATTACAGTGGAGTTAAATAAAATATTTGAAGTCCTAAGGAGCGGAAGTGCAGTAGTCTTGTTCTTCAAGAAAGGCGACGACGTTCTGTTATAGAACTACTGACCGACTTCCCTTCTTCGCCGCGTCTACGTCTGTTTCCGAGAGTCATTACGACCAGTCTCGCACGCAAACTCAACGACTTCCAGCCTCCCGAACAAGCCGGTTTCCGAAAAGGCTTTAGTATCAAACTACTTACATACCCTTCGGCAAATTGTACATAAGTAAGACAGGGTGACGCTACATCCCCAAAACTCTTTACCGCTTGATTGGAAGACTTTTTCAAGCTACTGGACTGGAAATAATACGGTATTACCATCAATTCGCCATTGTTAATCGCACACATCACTCACCTACGATTTGCCGACCATATAGACCTTATGGCAGAATCGCTGGAAGACCAGAGCACTACGCTCAATTACCTCAATAGTGTCTCCCAACGAATAGGTTTAATATGGTCAAAATAATGTCATGTGTAATGTTCATATCACACCTATGCCGGTAGTTGTTGGAAGCACTACGCTCGAAGTTATTGAAGAGTATGTTTACCTGGGACAAATAGTCAGACTAGGTGGGTGTGGCTCAAAAAATATACCTCTTGAAATAAATCGCGGACATCTGTTTACCCCTAAATTTTAGTATTATTTTAGAAGTTATTTTTCGTGTAATAGGGATTTTCGGTGTTACTATTGCATATTTTAGCATGAAAAGTAGTTGTTGTGACATAGCTGAAATAGTTAAACATATGGTACCGCAGACTTTCGTAGATATTGATGTCTTCTATTAAACTGAAGTACATCACTGCTCTATTGTCAATAGTTTCTGCAACATACGCTATATAAGGAATTTTCGGCTTTACTGCAGTAGTACTTTAAAATGGAAAAGTAGTTATTGTGACAACTGTAATAGTTATGTATATGATATCGCAGACTTTTTGTAGATATTGATGTCCTGTATAAAACTGTGGTACATCACTTTGCTCTATTGTCAATAGTTTCCACAGTGTACGCGATGTAAGGATTCTTTTTGGTATTTTTTCACACCTTATTTACGAAGTTTTCACACGGACCCCTAACTTTTTTGAAAGTCTAGCGTCTATGTTCATCATGGATATTGTAGGATTCTAATGGTAAAATAATTTTTCAAATCGGTCCAGTAGTTTCGGAGCCTATTCAATTCAAACAAACAAATCTTTCCTCTTTATAATATTATAAAATAAGTGTAGATTATAATCGTGTCCTCTCTTCTGTTGCCATAGAAGCACCCCAAATAAATCTTAACATTCTCTAAAAAATTCTACAAAGACAATTACTTGATTTAATACGACATAAAATAATTTTATAAAAAAGTTACCACTGAAACCAATTTATAATAATGAGCAAGAAAAACGTGCTCCATGCACTAGAGATAATATTTTTATAGAAGAAAATTTGCTAAATATTTTCATTGAAGAACCCTTGATAACTCTAATAAAAATATAAAAAAAGGGCTCAAGAATAGTTTCTAGTGAGGTCACCAAAAAAGACTAGTCTCGTATATTTTGATATAACTTTAAAATTAATATGAATACAAAGTTTTAGGTTTAATAAATAAAACGTTACAATTTGATGTTTATTTCCATTTGGGCATGAGTCAGAACAAAAACATATAAGAATTAATGCCAATATTTATAATAATATTATTTCTAATCGTAAATATGGTATGATTTGTAATAAGTTCTAGTACAATATAGTCCTGCCTTTACAGAGTTCTAGCGTGTTACATAATTTCCAGTGTGTTGCTTACGATTTTGTGTTACCCTTTCTAGAGCGTTATGGTACAAATTTTGTGAGCCCCACCTAGGTAAGTCCAACCTCGACAGAGAGGTCAATCGACGGATTCAACTCGGCAGGGCAGCGTTCGGAGGATTACGACACTTCTCGTCAGGTATACCTAAAAACTTGAAATCTAGATGCTACAACCAGTGCGTGTTGCCAGTGATGACTTATAGATCTGAGCCGTGATCTTTCACTGCCGACCGTGTAAGGAAGCTCAAGGTCATTCAGAAAGCTACGGAGAGGGCTATGCTCGGGGTTACTTTGCGTAATAGACTTAAAATGAGGACATCCGCAGTAGAACCAAAGTAATTGACATAGCCCAACGGATTAGTAAGCTGAAGTGCCAATGAGCCGGCCATATAGCACGAAGAACCGACAACCGATGGGGAAGAAAGGTTCTCGAGTGGCAGGCTTGTACTGATAGACGAAGTGTAGGGCGTCAATGGATGCAGGAGGCTCGGGACCATGCTTTGTGGCATTCCTTGAGGGAGGCCTATGTTCAGCAATGGACTTCTGAAGGGCTGTAATGATGATGCTGATGATAATTAATTTATAAATTACTTGCTTCAATTATTTAATTTATTTGCAGTACAAATATCAAATAAATGTTGATGGAACAGTAGCAGCATATCGGTTTCCTTATCTTCTGGCAGGCGGTGGAATGGTTTTAAAACAAGATTCGCCCTATTATGAACATTTTTACCGAGATCTTCGTAAATGGGAACATTATGTGCCTGTTGCTCGTGATTTGTCAGATTTAGTAAAAAGAATAAAATGGGCACGAGAACACGACTATGAAGCACATGTTATAGCTGATAATGGTCGGAAATTTGCATTAGAAAACTTGCTGCCGCAACATATAATATGCTACTATGCAAAGTTATTCAGTGTAAGTTATCCAATGTTTACAAATCGGAGCTAATACTTGGTATTGACTTAGCTTACACGGCACTACTAAATTTCATTATTTTTATTGTTACCATTTACGATATACAAGAAGCTGCTAACTTATTAAAATAAATGTTTGGTATTTCAGTAACTGTAGTAGACCAGATATCCTCCATGAACTTAACACAAACATTACCATCACAAGGACTTTGGTAACTTGAATATAATTAAGCTTTTTTTACTGTTGAAAATAAAAATATTCTTTTCTTACTTGTGAAATTGGCATTTTATAATACTGGTTTATTTGAAGTTCAACATCTTAAATTTTATTTAGAATTTCTGATATAAAATTTCATGAAATATTTAAAACAGACGATGTTTTCAAAATATGTTATTTATATTGTCTTATAAAGAAAAGTTACGGTCGTCCAAACGTTTACCTGACACGTTTTCCGGTGCCTCAATTAGAACTACTTTGATCACTATATAATCGGTTTGGACATTCCAAAAAACGTAACATTGTAGCACAGTCATGGTATTGTATGAGTGTAACCGAGGTTTTTAAGACAGTTGAGAAGAAATAAAACGAAACTTTAATTTCCCAGAAGTAACATTTATTGCAGTATCATAGAAATTTATCGTAACGAAGTTTTTAAAAGCTAAGCAAAAGCTGTTACCTAGGCTCCGTTGGTCTTGTCGTCGTTGTCTTGTACTTTTCAAACAATTTGTATAGCTGCTATCTCGTCTTTACCATCCATTAAAATGTCTTGTCCCTGAGCTATTCTTAAGCCAGATCCGAAAAATAGGGTGGTTGTACAATCAATTAAAACCCGCTCCTTGAATGGCAGCCATCACAACTTTGGCTTTTTGTGTCGTAATGAAACAGGACTCCGGCTGGTAGTTTGTTTATTCTTAATTTTTTATTTATACCAGGTATCTCAAAATAAAGTTTATATTTGTTTAGCTTACTGCGTGAACGCAACGATTCGGAGGGGCGCGTGGTATGTCGGAAGCCTGGCTCTTGGGAATTTGTCGCTATGGAGCGTTTCTCGGGAGCGGATTGCGCGTTATGCGTATGCAAATGTTACAAAAAAAGTAATTTTGCGACTATATCGCGAAGAAATTTCTCAAATATTTGAGGTTTTCGTCACTTAAATGATGCGCCAAGCATTGCTATCATTAGGAAATGGGTAAAAAAGTTTAAGGAGACCGGTTCAACACTAGATAAACCAAAACCCGGGGTTATTGACAACGGAAGAGAACGTGGAACGGGTTGATCGGTCTGTTCGTGATGATCCCGACCTCTCCATCCGGAAGCATGCAAGTGCTTTGAATGTGCATAGATCATCGCAACACCGCATTTTGCACAAAGATCTAAAGCTATACCCTATAAATTCAATTGGTGCAAGAATTGAAACCCCAAGATGCCACTCACTGGTTAGAGTTCGTAAACCGGGCAATTGAGCGCTTACAAACGTTTACCAACATCTTGTTTTCGGATAAAGATCGTTTTCACCTTAATGGTCACGTAAATAAGCAGAACCAATCCATCAGAAACCCCTTCATTCGCCAAAGGTGCCCAAGGTGGGCTGCAATGTCATCGCAAAGAATTATCGGCCCTTACTTTTTTGAAGATGAAAGAGGGCATGCACTTACTGTGAATTTGGAGAGTTATTTGAGGATGTTAGATGAGTTTTATGGACTTTTTCCTGTGGGGTTTCCTTAACTCTAAAGTTTACGTTAGTAAACTAACTTCCCTGGCCCAGTTAAAACAAAATATTCGCTACGAAATAGGAGCCATCACTGGGCATACTTGCCAAGCCCTTATCAGTAATTTTAGTGTTAAATTAAATGAGTGTCGTGTACGCGAGGGTAGACATTTGGACGACAATATTTTTTAAGAAATAAAATTCCCAAGGAGTGTATTTTCATAATCAATAAAAAATCGACTAACGGCTTTTTTAAATCGTTTTTTTTACATATAAACTTTCTTTTGAGACACCGTATTAACTTTAAGTCAATGATTTTAGATATGAAAACAATATCTGTATAATCGTTTTTTGTATACAGGAATGGAGTAAAAGATTAGAAAACAAAGTAACAATACGTGATGGCATGACCCATGTACCACAACCAAAATTCGAATGTAATTGTCCACTGAAAAATAAGAATATTCATGAGGAGTTGTGATCAGGCATTTTCCAAAATAATTATAAAAGGTATCTGTACTATTAACATTACGTCTACATCATACTACACTTCGAACAGTAGAGAACGCTATATAAAGTAAGTTTGTCTGAAAGACCTCGTTTAGCTTTTAAAATTTTGTTTTAAAAAAAATTATATTTTCTTAATTGTTAATAGCATGGTACACTACGAAGTAATTTGATTTAACATTAAAACTTTTTTTACACACTATATTCATTTCTATCTTTTATAACATTTATGATAAGTATAGTTTAAGTATTTATTTTGGTGATAAAAAATTGAAACTGGCCTTAAAATACGATTTATTCACTTTGCCATTTGGCGTAGCTGCTATATTTTCTAAGATAACTTAATTAATACTTATAAGCCGACCATTATCATCTGAGTGATGTCGGGTCACAAACATCAGCAACATTAGAAATGTGCCAACGACTTGCAAAAAAAATATCTATATTTAGATATATAAAATAAAAAAAACGTTATAAGGAAAATTCCTATTACTTTACATTGGCAAAAAAACAACCATACAAGTATATTACCTGCGAAATAAAATATTATAGTAGAAATATCATGTTCTGTATTACAAAAAATTAGCATAATTAAAATTATTTAACATTGTGTAATAATTAATATCATCCCCCGATAATGGTTGAAGCTAAATGTTTTCCAGTCAATAATATTGAGTAAATCAGAATAAAATACATAAAAATCTATCAGTCGCAGTCGATTGAGAACCTACTTTTTAAATATGTTAAAGTTGCTAATCACCATCAAATGTGTAAATACCAATATTGAGAGAATATGTGTGCTAAAATTATATTCCACTTGTTTCAGAACATGAAATCGGGCATGAGCGTTGGTGAAGCAAAAGCTAAATATGTATTTACATGAGCCGACTCTGTTTTAAATAGTTAGAATTAAGCACTTACTAAATAAAAAAAACTAATAGGAATTTGTTATAAGACCATATTACTATATTGCCACTTATCTTTATTGTTTTGAAAATTTTCACCAGGAATGTTAACCCCATTAAAATTATATCAACAAAAAGCTACATTTATGACTGAAAAATATTTTTACTGTCAGTATTATTCTTACACAGTAAACATATGTCCTGTATTTTTTCAGTAAACTGCTTTAAATTTAAATTGTTTTCGAACATGTTCCTATCTATACAAATAAATAAAATTGAAGTGTCTGTTTGTAATGTCAATATTACGGCTTTTTACTAAATACATATGAAAGTATATACGGTACTAATAACAAATATACAATTTTTAAAGTTTTTGTCTGTCTGTCTGTCTGTCTGTCCGTCTGTCTGTCTGTCTGTTTGTTTGTTCCGGCTAATCTCCGAAACGGCTTAACCGGTTTTGATGGGATTTTCACTGGCAGATAGCTGATGTCACAAGGAATAACTTAGGCTACTTTTATAAAAAAAATTAAAACTCCAAATAACACGCGGGCGAAGTCGCGGGGAACAGCTAGTTATAAATAAAAAAATGGCATCGAAATATTATCTAAATAAGGAAAAAAGTATAACTGTGACGGTTTAAACTGTACACTCATTGTAAATTGTCATTCCACATAACAATTTTTTTGTTTTTAATAATCATGAGTTTATCGTTATGTATTATTACCATCACATTGTAAAACGTAAACAGAATATACGCTTACTATGGTCGGATTGATCCTTAGACATAATATATTAGCTTTAAAATCCATTCCAGTTGCAGATATAGATCTTTTAGTGTAGTGATTGGTGTTTGGTGGTCATTTGTCTATCTATTGAACCTAAGATGCTTATATTGTGTTCCAACAGCATTAAGTAACAGTGTTGCCAAGTCCAGATTGTTCCGAATCACCGAAAAAAAAAAAAAACTAGACTAATTTCGCCTAATTTTTTTTTCTGTAATAGTCAGCCTATAAAGCCTATTTTTAAACGTAGATCCCTTATTTATAATTTTAACAAGATAAAATTTGAAGTGCTTTATCGTAAATGTGGAAGAAAAGATCAACATAAATTATAATATGTTTTTTTATCTGTTCAGCATTATTAATATTTCAGAAATTGAAACGAAGTATTTTACTTACAAGATTATAATTAAATATAATTTTATATATATATAAAAACATGCCTAACTTGGCACTACTGTTAAATAACGGGATCATAATCGCCCTTAAAGTAGATTAACTTTAATTTAATGTATATAGATGGAATAAAATAGGTAGTTTTAGATAAATACGTAATAAAAAATCTCAGCCTATATCTCGCTAGACAAATAAAATTAGACTATATTTTTAATATTGTTTAATCAAATAATGTACATTCGTCATTATTAAATATTTTGGTTTATAACGTTCATTTTTATTTGCTATAACTATAATTCGCGACTTCATATTAAGTCGAGGATTTTCGGCATTAAAAGGCTGTTAGTGCTGCTTTCTCTACTGCATGCATATTTGTCCAGCAATGATGTAGTAGCAGAAGTAGTCAAGTAGAAAAAAACTTACTTTATTTGAAACGTTTTTGCTTATTATTAATAAATAATGGATCTTAACAAAATGTAGCCGATTAAGAATCTAATTTATTAATATGCCTTTCGTACTATCAAAAAATATTATATGGCTATCGCTGAAAAGAAAAACGAGAACTCAAAACGTCAAAGCTTTCTGCCGGCTATTAAATAATACTTTTTTAACATATAAAGTATTTTAAAAATACATCCTATTTAGACTTTATTTTCAAGAAGTATCAATTCTCGAGCATCAAAATTTTGTCTAAAGTACAATATCTAGTCAAAGCTGGCCTTGAGTAGGAAACGGCTTACAGTGGTGCGAAATGAGTGAGTGGTTGGTACGCGACGTCTAGCGGTACATGGCGACGTCCGGGCTGCGGTAGAAGCACATGTAGGCGTCGGCGAGCAGGCGGCGCGCGTGCGCGGGCGGCGCGCGCTGCCCCGCCTCCTCGCACAGCCACGCGCCCAGCTCCGGCAGGCACACGATCTCCGGGATGTTGTACCCGTTGCGCTCGCCTGCGTGCCAAGTGCCGACGTATGTTACTAACGATTGTCTAGTGTTCCCAATAACACCCACATTCATTTTTTTTATTTTTTAGTTTGTATGTTAAACGAGTTGTATTTCACTTTATACTGCACGTTAATACACAGATATCACATATAACCACTCAAATGTCCATGGATACTACGGTATCCAAAATAAAAGTAGCGTTGTACGTCCTGGATACTATAGTATCCATAGCATCAAGTTTTATAAAACTGACATCTATGGACAGCTGCGGTTATTTTTGTGAGTTTTGTCCATGGAGTCGATAGCTGACGAACTATTTTACGTACTAAATACGAGATGGCAGTGTAACAAGCCTTGACGAATGAACAAATAATTATCTAACTTCAGTGCTTCAGTCCACTCTACACTCGATGTAGTGCCAGCGATTATGTCGTAAGTATTTTAGTTTTATTTAATATTTTTTAGATTATTATACATCATAGTAAACTAGATATTTTGTTTACTTTGTTTTTCAGTAAAATTATATTTAAGCAACGAGTGATAGTTCATAATAAATATAATAATGCACTTTAAAAACAGAATTAAACTGTATTCACTGAAGATTCCTTAAAAATGTTATTGTGTTCCTCAGGTCTTTTGTTGTGGATAGTTTGGTATCCATGGACGTAACCACAATGGTTCTAAATAAGAGTCGGTACAAATAACAAAATATGTTTGCAATATGTTTTGCTTTGTTATTTTTTGCAGCCTGTTAATATGTGATACGCGCGGGCTGGACGCTTGAATGGATAAAAAATATATCAAACACTTTTTTGTCTTTTGATATACTCGACAGACTAGTGAAAAAGTAAAATTCAACAAAATTCACAGATTTGTTGGCAACATTTTGAACTTTTTAACTATGATCTCAACTCTCCGCGAATTTTCAACCACAGAATAATATGTGTTTGACATTGGCGATACGAATTTAATGTATTTGTAACACTTAATATAATATATAAATTTTAGTTTTCTGCACTCCTCCATATTAACTTCAACTAAACTAAATCTCGCACTCCCCTCCAATCTTTCCATTCATGTATAAATATGTAGATAATTCATTGTATACATGTTTTATCCTGCTTAATAATGGACACATTCATTATTTTCTTACAACACTGCGAACATTTTTTCTGTTTACTTTTCGTGCCGACGGTACTCGATAATAATTTATGATAGTCGAGCTTACGCACAATAAAACAGTTTTCATGTAACCTAACTACAAGTACAACCAACCCGCCAACGTGAAATACAAATACTATAACTTTCACCTCAAAAAGTATAAACCAACGAACATACACAAAAGCAGTACAAAAATCTATGTTGGAAAAAATTAAGAAAAAGGAATAAGAAAGACATTAAAGGAAGTAACAAAAAGAAACAATTATTCTCTTCTATTCCAAATGTCAACCTAGGATAAATTAAGAGTGTATAAGCTTTTATAAACAAAAGCTATCAGTGCGGTTTACCATCTTCAGTTAAATCACCACTTACAATCAGTTTGAATAGTAGTCAAGCACTAACATAGAATAGCTAAAAAAAAACCTTACCCATAAACAGTGCACCCTGCTAACTAGCGAAAGAAGCTCTGGGAAACGATTAATGAAAAATCTATGCTAAAATGGTAAAACTAAATTTAACAGATTGGTGGATGGTAGCGGTGTTACCAGAATTATATAGAAAATAGATCTCCGAATATAGATATATCTATATGCCGAGATCTATTGTAACTTCATGAACGCAACTAAAACAGTTTTAAAACTAAGTATAAAATATATCATCAATATACTCAAAAAGTAGTGAATCATTAGCATTTCCATATAGATGTAAAGGGGATACATAATTCGAAAAAGACAATGGAAGAAGCAAAGTGATAATGGTGCCTTAAGAAAGGTTGAATGGTTCCACTATGCTCT